ACTTTTGTTTGCAAGGCAATGTGCAAGACATCCTTTTTTTTTTTTTCAAAGACATCCTGACGCATACGGAGTGCCAAATGGGCATTAAATCCTGGCGCCTGGTTCCCCAAGAAAATGACAACCTCAATAGCAAGTCAAACTTATCAACAGAATCCAGGAACATTCCTGTGGGCCTGACAATTTAAGAGCAATTTTGGGAAAGCATCCAGGGGCAGCAGCAAAGAAGATTGGACAGAGGAAACTAACTCCTAAAGGAAAGATTAGAAGAACCCCTCCCCCAAGGGCATTTCAATTCATATTCTCAAATATGACTAAATTGATGATCGGCAGTGATTTCTCACTTTGAAGCAAAGCAAGATGATGGACTTAGCCTTCCAGCCCAAGGACTGAGTTTTTAGCGGGTTTTTCTACCCTGCAGTGTAATTTTGATGCCTGTCTGCATGCAGCTTGAAATCAGCACCGCAAATGGCCTGGACCCATAATAAGGTTCCAGAAAGTCTTTTCTCAAACACTGGATTAGAGCTCCAGCTGACATGTTAGGGTATACTCCCATGGGGGCAGGACACAAGGGAGGCCCTCAGGCTGGGCATGAGAGAAACGTTAATGAGTCAGCTGTCCCTTCCTGCTGTCTCAGACAGGTCCCAAGTAACCTGACATTGTCACCGCTGCGGTAGCAGGTAACACTTACTTGGTACTTACTGTGTCACAGGTACTGTTCTTAGTCCTCTACAAACAGAACTCTTAGAGCAGCGGAGCTAATAGTGAGGTAGGTGCTATAATTATCCTAATTGTACTGAGGAGGAAACATTCACAAAGATGCTAAATGACTTTGCCCAGGGACACCAAGCTAATGAATGGGACAACTCAGGACTTGGACTCAGGTAGTCAGGGCACAGAACACATCGTTCACCATTATGCTACACTGCCTTTTGTAAAATGACATGACCGTGACATGATGTGACTTCATGATACCACAGAGGATATAAAGATTATATGTGCTGCCTTTCTGGCTCCTGTCTCAAGTTCTAGGTCATGACTTGAACCGTTATTTTCAAGTACCTTATTTCTCCCACTAGGGAAGATGCAACAGTTGACAGCTGAACAAATTGCCTTCCAAACTCCAGTTTATGGGTCGCTTCAGAATTTGCATTGAGTGGGGTTGAAGACTCAGAATACAGCCCCAGAAGTTGTCCAAAAGGCTGAGAAACAGGGCTCGACTCTCCACTCAACTGCTCTCTGAATTTATTCATCTGCTGCTGTGCCTGGAACCATCCCAGCCTTCCTTCCCAGGCCCTGCTCCTCGAGGGGATGAAGCTGGGGTGCCTTGCTCTCAGGTGCCTCCTTCTCAGGGTGTGACCTAGGATTCCAGGAAGGAGGGATGAAAGGTATGGATTTTATCTTCCTGGGTGGCAGGCGTGGAGCCGTTCATGTCAGTTGGTGGTGCCGGTGTGGCTTGCCGCAGCTCTCTGTTTGCTGGGGGGTACCGTGCCAGGATGTAGAGGAAGCCACCCAGGGCCCCCACGGCCATGGCTGTGTTGTGGGAGGAGCAGCCATCTGGGGAGAGAGACAGAGGCCCCTCTGTGAGTGCTGGGTGGTGACCACAGTTCCGTCAATGCTTTTCAGATATCCCGCCAGCCAGCCTGGTGCCAGCAGATCCACTTTGCCAGGCCGGGCACCCATCCGCTAGCCGCTGTAGGTGTTGGCTGCTAACAGCTCCCTTCTCTAGAGAAATGTCTCCAGCCATCTGGAGCCTCCTCACCCAGAAGGTTACACTTCCTCCCAATGATTTACTAATACAGGGACACAAAAGCCAGCTCTCTCTGGGAGGGTGACTCTGTGTTAAGAGTTGCTGGAGCCCCTCCCACAGGATCTGACCTGAGGCCAAATCCTTGTCCAGCTCGGTCCAGTTTCCCCTGCTTTTAGGCCCTAGTGAGACCTTCTAGGACAGCACCTCACTGCCCCATTTTACAGATGGGGAAACTGAGGCTCAGGTAGCAGAGCTCAGCTCCCAGCCCTGGCGACTTTACAGCTCATTTCTTGACCCCGACAGCCTCCCTCATCGCTGCCTCGGGCCTGCTGGTCCCATGTGACCCTGAACGACTGCCTGAGACAGGAACTTAGATGTCATTTAGTTCTCTGAACTCAAAGTGGGCCACCCACCTTTAGTCTCTCGGCAGGTGGAGTGAGCCAGGATTTTCCCCACCCCTCACAGACTTAGAGAAGAGAAGGACCTCAGCCAGGCCCCGTGGAGGGAGGGAGAAAGCAGATTTCAAGAACGCTAATTACTCACCCAGGCAGCCTATGCCTATCGGTGGCCTACCGTAAGCCAGGGGGAGCACTTGGCGCGATGGTCTGATATTAACCCCAATAACTCTATGAAGGAGGCACTGTTTGGTCCCCATTATACAGATAAGGAAACCGAGGCTCAGATAGGTTGAGCGATTCCCACAGCGAGTAAGGGAAGACGTGGATTCAAACCCAGACAGCCTGGCTTCAAATCTTGTGCTTAGTCTCCATGGATGTGTGTCATAAGTGAAGGAATGTTGTTCCATCCTGGGAAGGCTGCTGATCAACCTTCAGGGGCCTCAGGAAAGGCCTTGGGCTTCTGAATTTCTGCAGCTCTCTCTCCAGTTGTCAGTTTCTAGGGAGCAGCCAGCTTCCACGGTGTGCACAGAAGTCCCCTACCACCCACCATCGACAGTCCCAGGCCCCTCGGTGTCAGGCGGGCCTATCTAGGGCAGGGGGCCTCTAGGAATCTCCTGAGAAAGTCTCTCCCTTCCCCTGGCCAACCCCTGGTGGCAGCTACAGACCCACTGGATTTGTGCTTCCACGCCCTTCTCTTGTCTACCTGCAAGTAGATGACGAGGCAGTGGTGGGGTGGATGGTGAGATGTTTAGTTACTAGAATCGTCCCCGGTATAAGTTGGACTTCTACTCTGAGCTGGCTATTCTACTTCCCTTCCTGCTTTTGCCTTGCAGTTATTTATTTTTTATTAATAAAAAGATTGAAATCAAATCCTCTCTTCCTTCTTTCTCCCTCTCTATCTCTCTACATCCCTTCCTGCCATATTTTATCTTGCTTTTTTTTTCCTTCCCAATATAGTTATATCCTATTCTCAGTCTCTCCGCATTGGTGGGCCGACCACATAACTTATCATTTCAACCAGGACACTTTGGGGAGGAAAAAGGGCACTATTCATAATGGCACCAGGACAACAGGTGTCAGCTGGGAATACCAGGATGTGCGGCCACTGGGATTGTGCTGGTCACTTGCCTTTTGGTTCTCAGATCTCCTGCCTGACCTTCTTTGCTCCAAACTCCAGGGCGCTAACCCTCCAAACTACATTTCCCAGGCTGCTTTGCCCATAAACAGCAGGCAGAGGTGGAGCGAGGGGAGAAGCTGGGGTACTTCTCCCCTGACTCTGTCTCCTCTGTGTCCAGCCCCTGAAGTTTCTGCTAACACCACCTCCTCCACTCTGTCCCTCCAGCTCCGCCTCCAGGGAGGGCAGTGGCATCCTGCAGTGGTTCATCTCTGAGTTTTGTCACCTTTTCTGTTTTCAGCAATTATGACACCTCTGAGGCAGGTTCTCTATATTCAATTCCCTCTGTGGAAGTTCCTGACGTGGGTTCTGTTCTGACTTGATTTCGATGGAGAGGGATTATCTCTGTGATTTTCAGTAATACACTAAACTTCTCTTTTGTGTTCCTTTCACTGGAGATTTTCCTCTGGACTCCCCACTTTAGGTATCAGAGATTCCTACCCTTCCTTCCCTCTCCCAAACACAAGGGCCCCTCAGATCCGGCTCCTTCAGTGATGCTGGGGTCTGTTTCAAATTGAGCGCTATCTGTGTGTAGCCTTTCTGGGGTGTCTCAGTTTCATGCCAAGAAGGTCCCTTGGACATTTTTATTACCTGCAAATTGTTTTTCTCGCCTCTTTACTCTTCTCAGATAATGCTGTTGGTGTTGAATTGCTTTAGATAATTCTTCATCTTCAGCATCTAGGAGAAGAGTGAAAGATGAGCTTCTCAAGATGGATTTTAAAATGTTACTTGCAAAACCTCCTTGTCCTCACAACACCTCAAGCAGCTCAGATCTTCTCTTTAATCTGGAGCCACTTCCAGAAGTTTCCTTGAGCACCTGTCTGCAGATCCTTCCATGTGGCCTAAATTTGTCATCTACGGATATTTCTCAAATTGTAGTCCCTCAACCTCCCACATCTGAATGGCCAGAGGACCTCATTAAAATGCAGGTTTATGAAACTAATATGCTATTGTACATCAACCGTAATTGAAAAATAAATTTAAAAAAAATTTTTTTTAAATGCAGGTTCCACAGCCCCACCTTCCATCTGCTGAATCTATAGATCTGGAGACCTGAGAATCTTCACTTTATAAACTCCTCTGTTTCAAAAACAGAGTCCCTTATTTCAAAAGCTTTGCCTTGTCGAGCATCCCAACCTTCTAATTTAGGAAGCTAGTATTTATTGGGAGCCTCCTCTGTACCCAGGACACACCAGGTGGTTTCACATGTATTACGTCTGCTCCTCACGGATTAGGAAGGAGATTGTTATGCCCATTTATTCACAGGTGGGGAAATCGAGGCTCAAAGAGGTAAAGCCACTTTTCATTTCTCCAATGAAGCCCAGCTGTCCAGTGTTGCACAGCTGGAAAGGGGTTGCTCCTTCACCCTTTGCTTCTAAGTCACCCCTACCTGGACATCTCCCCTGACCACTATGCCTGAGGAACCTTCCTTGATGTTCTTTTCTTTCTCAAAGGTGTCAACTTCACAGCCTTTTCAGAACTCACAATTATTTCACTTATTGGTTTGTTTAGTGGTTTCTGCGTCCTTTTCTTAGTGCCCTCATTTACTTGGAGCCTAGCACAGTGTCTGGCATGCAGTAGATGCTCAGGGAATGTCACTGAAGGAATGAATTTGCAGGAGCAGCCAGCCAACATTTTCCAACAAGATTGCCTCCCGTCCTGCAAAGTTTTGGCTTCCAAAGTTCCGAGCCCATTTCTATGTGTGTGTGTGTGTGTGTGTGTGTGTGTGTGTGTGTGTGTGTGTCACCAACAACCACAGAGACACGGAGAGATTTGCACAAAGTCACACAGTAAGTCCGTGTTGAAGCACAGACTAGAAACCCAGGCCCAGCTCTAGGCTTCTTTCTGGCATCTGTGTCCTTCAGAAGGTGTGTGTGTGTGCGCGCGCGCGCGCGCGCACATGGGTGTTGCAAATCTCTTTGTGCCCCTAGCATCACTTCATCTTTTTCCCACCACCCTTCCAGCACCCACCACCCACCAGCCAGGGCAGAAGGGAAGCTCACCAGGCCTCCCGAAGCATCCTTCCTGTGGCTTCTGCCAGCTGAGAATGGCCTCCAGCCACCGGAGCTTGTAGAAGTCAGAGAAGCTGCTGATTCCACAGAACAAGACTGGAAGCAAAGACAGGAGACTCTCCATAGCCCTGCCCCCCACAGGTCCACCTCCTCCACTCCCTAAGGCCAGCACAGTGCCATCTGCCTCCTCTTGCCAGGGTTAGGCAGAGCCAGGAGGTGGGCGCTCAGCACAGTGGCTGGAAGGAGGCAGTCCTGAGTCTGCCTTAGTGAGCAGGGGCTCCCAGGCCTGGGTCCTGCCTCCCACTCAGGGCCTTGGTCCAGGCCAGTGGAATAGGAGTCAGCAGAGGGATCTGGATACCCAAGCCAAGGAGCAGCCACCCAGGGACCCCCTTTCTGCCTTATCTCTAAGGCTCTGAGTGTCTGTCTGTTTGCTGGTTAACTAGTTAGTCAGCCGTGCAGAGCTCCATCATTGCGTCAGCCTCTGGGGAAGCAAGCAGTCAAAACGGTGGCAGATAAAATACAGGATGCCCAATTAAATTAGAGTTTCCAATAAACAACAAATAAAAAATTTTAAGTCTAAATATAGCTCATGCAATGTTTGGGAATGTACTTATACCAAAAATGTATTCATTGCTTATGTGAAGTTCAAATTTACCTGGGGATCCTGTAAATTCTTTTTGCTAAATCTGGCAGTTCTACTCTGTGTGTGTGTGTGTGTGTGTGTGTGTGTGTGTGTGTGTGTGTGTGTCCACAGTCAGGGACACAGTACTGCTTTGTCCCCAGAGCAGAATGCCTACTGTTTTCCATGAAGATGTCCCGGGTCGGGTAGGCATAGCCAATGGCCTCAGCTCTCCAGTTCAAGTCCATCATGTTGGCGCAGAAGAGGTTCATGTAGTGTTGGCTCTGGCGGAACAGCCCTCTCGTGCATCCTTTCTAGTGGGACAAAAGAAGTTGGTCCAGTGACAGACCTGAGTTCTGTTATAGGAAAAGGCTTGTCATTCTGAGATGACACTGCAAGTGGATGCCTTTGGATGCCTTTCCCCTTTTCCCAGAATTTCTTTCCTACTCACATTCCCAGCCTGCTGGGGCATCGGACAGAGCTAAGCTTGAGTCCCAGCTCCGACACTTAGGAGCTGTGTAATCTTGGTCGGTTAAGTTAACCTTTCAGAGCCTCGAGGGTCTTCAAAGGGCAAGGGCGATACCACTGGGAGCTGCACGGGAGGGGCACTCCTGCGGGTGGTTGATACCGTAATTACGACGCGCCCAACACTAGGGGGCGCTCTACAACCGCTAGCTGCTGTCGCTGCATTCGGATTCCACACTAACAGGGCTGGCAGCTACAGCGCTTCTCAAAGTGTTGGCTGCGGATCGGTTGCGGGGAGAGAACAGGAGATGAGAATAGGCCTTAGAAACTTTTATAGCAATGCGTCAGGATAACTTTCTATCTGTCCAATCTAATAATCAAAATAATTTTCTTCGTAATTTGGTTGTTACTGTATTTACAAAAATACCAGTTCGTGATGGCTTGCAAATAAATAATAAACAAAGATTCTGTTAAAAATAAAAAGACTGGCAAGGCCTTTCTAGGCTAAGAATTTCTGGACGATGACTAACATTTTTGAATAGAGATAACAAGCCTTACCTTTCTATAGAAATAAATATATATTTAGCAATGATTATTTAGCAAATTGAGCTCTT